ATTCAGGGACAGCCTAGCATCCCTTCTCTGCCTTCCTCTACCCTCACTATATCAATTAAAATATCCTCCTCTTTTACCTTCCAAATGTCCCTGATACCCATTTCCTTTGCTCCATCCCGTTTGTCACTGTCCTGGCTCTCTCCTTTATCATCTGTTGGGGTGACCTTGTAACATGATGCTCTAATTATTGGCCTGAGCAAAGTCTGCAGAAGTTCCTCCTGACCTTTAGAAGAAATTGTCACTGTCTAGGATGCTCTAAGAGGCTCCAGTCCACAAGTGCAGCAGTCCACTGCCTACTTGTCCAGTCTGGGTTCTTGGCATGCCCCACCCTCTATTTCTCATTAGACTTTCATGCTCAATGCTCCAATGGGCCTCTGTGCCTTTGCACATATTATTCCTTCTTCCTGAAATACCATTACCCCTTACTAAAATTTTAAATATTCACCATGTTTTTGTCAACTCTTATAACCAGTAATATAATTGTTACTTTCATCAACGAGTATTATGTTCTGTCCTTCATTCTATGTGTGATTTTTTTTTTTTTTGCTCACCTCTGCAAGTACTTTTGTACGACTGGCAGCAGAATTGGTTTGTTTATATCACAAACATGTGCCATATAATGACATTTTGGTTGACGACAGACGATGTATATGATGGTGGTCCCAGAAGATCATAATGGTGCTGGAAAATCCCCTAGTGATGGTGTGGCCATTGTAACATCGAGGCATATCCCCAAACCCCATATTTTCTGAATTATTTCCGATGCCCTTGATATATTTTGTGCCTAAGAAAATACAGATTCCCAAGACCTGCCTTTCAGGAATCACCAAGGTGTGATTGAAAAATACAGTAAATGTTTAAATTTTAAAGTTTATTATAATAAAAGACACATCGCTACCAGTGACTGTCAAAACATTCCCCCTCCCTTTGAACACCGTTATGCCATCGTTCTTGACACTTTCTGAAGCAGGTCTGGAGGTCCTTCTTTGTGAGTATCTTTATGAGGTATGATAAAAACACAGTTACTGCTATTGCTGAGCGTCATCCAACATAAAAGCACATTTGTAAAAACATTACAGTGGGTCCTCTTCCGTCTTATTCAGTGGATGTGACACCACGCCACTTCTGCCTCTTCCCTGAAGTCAAAATGACCGCCTGCCTCGCAAGCACAAGGTTCTGAGTTCGATTCTCGGTACCCCAAAATAAACAAATACATGAAATCGGTTGTTTATACGATTAGAGGAAAGGAAATGTTTTGAATCAGTTTGCAACATCAAGGCAGCCCCAAAGGTGCGACTGAAAACACTCGCACAAGAGAGCTTCCAGAACTGCTTCAGAGTGGCAAGAAGGATGGAATATGTGAGTTGGAAGCAAGGGAGAGTATTTCGAGTATTTTTCAATCATACTCCCTATGCATTTCCTACTCTGTATTTTTTATCATTATTTTAGAGTACGCTCCAACATATAAGCTTACTGTAAAGCAGTCTGACGTGTTATACCCACAGCAGATACCCACAGTAAATCATGTGTCTTTCGATTGCCTGTAGAGATCACATCAAAGATTGAACTAGACCGCTTGGCTTTGGCGAGTGCATTCTGTGATGTTCACATAGCAGGCTCACCCATGGGTGCCTTTCCAGAATGCATCCTGTTGTTAAGTAACGTGTGACTGTATGTGGAAGTCTTTGCTCAGCATCCTCACTTCTTCCTGCTCTTCTAGCACAGTGTTCAATCCTGGATCTTCTAACTTCCTGCCTCTTACCCACCCACACTTTTTCATTTTCCAGAAGCCCATATTAAATCTCAGTACCTAGAACCCAAACTCGAATTCACCAGTACCATCTCAGGCATCACCTGAACAAAATCTTGGCTCATGGGGATGTTCGCGAATGGGCAGACTTAACCTGGGTACCATCCTTTTTAGTACCCATAGCCTTGTAGTAGTGCTTCTCTGGGGCTGACCTCACCACAGTGGTGGAGCCCAAAGGGCAAATCCAGCAGGGACAAGGTGTCCTCCTTGAAGACTCAAGTTTGCTGAAATGAACAACCAGGAAAACAGGTGGAAGAGAGGGAGTCCAGAAGGACTGCTGGACTGAGGACAATACCAAGAGAAGTAGTAAAACTAAAACAAGGAATGGAGGCACCAAGATCATGAAACTAAAATCTGAGTGGGGTGAGCAAGTTGGAGGAGATCCTGTGGAATGCTTGAGACTGAGTTGCCATCCAGATGCTCCCTGCGCTGACATGAAGGGAGAAACAGTATCTGCATCTTGGGTAAAGACTCCATTGCTCTAAATGACTCTCCAGTCAGGGCAGGGTTTTGGACGTAATTTTGGAGCAGGCTGTCTTCTGATACTCCTTGCCTTCTGAAATTTCAGGAAGACTCCTGTCTTTCTGATCTCTTCTCCTCCTAGGGGCTCCTTCTTCCTGACCTACCCCTCCCACGTACACACAAATAGTCAAAAAGTTCAATCAGCATCATTGAGCCAATACTGGTTTTAGGAAGAAAGCCTACATGGAGCGATGCAGAAAGATATCCAAGATGCAGTGTTACATTTAAAAAGGAAGTTGGATAATAGTTCATATTGTTTAATCTTATTTAAGTTTTAAAATTAATATTTATATGTGAGTAAAAATTTTAAAATGATTTATTAGTCTCTGTTAAAACTGGTCGTTTGGGGCTGGAGGTGTAGCTCAGTGGTGCCGCCGCCTGCCTCCTAAGCACAAGGTCCTGAGTTCGATCCCCGGTGAAAGGGAATAGCAATGCTCAACAACTAGGCCACACACACACACCGAGGGGTCTGACTGGAGATTTTATTCAAGGGGTGGGAGTAGAGAGAGAGCAGAGAGAGAGCAGAGAGGGAGAGGAGGAAGAAGAAGAAGAAGAGAGGAACAAAGAAAGGAAGGTCCTTTTATCAGTTTTGTGCCAGGCTATTGATTATTTATGAGGAAAGAGCTACTTTTAACCTATCACAGGCCAGCTTGCCTTTTATGGGTCCAGCCCTGCAGAAACAGGCTTCAACTTCTCTGTCTCGCTGTGGCCTTAGAGGGAGGGAAACTAAAGATAAGAGCATGAAGTCATTCTAAGAGCCAAGAAGCACCAGGAAATTGCAGCCTGTGATGGCGGTGTCACAAAAATACTTTAACATGATCAATTCCCTAACAGCCAGTACCAAAAAAAAAAAAAAAAAAAAAAAGGTTGTTTATACAGTTAAGGGAAAGCATTATGTTTTAAATGTACAATTATAAAAAATAAATGACTTGAAACATCTCCAAGCACACTGAATAGCCGCCTCTATACCACCCACCTGTTCTTTTTCACCTTTGAGAGGGGCTCTGTACCTAGCAGTAACTCAGGAAAATTGTAAACATCATCAATAGAAAAGAGAAGGAGGGTTGATGCGTGAATGAGTGTTGAAAATGCCAAGGACTTCCTGTTGTTTTAAGTGCACTCTTAATGTAAGTAACAATGATTGGATCAAATGTTATCTTTTGTTATTTTACCCACGCTGCATTCTTGTTCAGTGAAAAAGGACCTATGTTTCTTAACTGAGGGCAAATCCAGTGAAAGAGCTATTGTAGGTGGAGGAAAAGACAAATGCAAACTTAATAGATGCAAAGTTCAGCTGTTGATGATGTATTGTTTGCTGAACTGCTGGGAACACAGCTGGAAGAATACACATTACCATTTATTATAAACATGACAGGTACTCATGGTAAAAAAAGGAGGGGAACAAAACTGTGTGAAATAAATAGAAGAAATTCCCCCATCTTTCTACCCCTACCAATTCACTGTTGTTCACTGAAGAGTTTGGAATATTTCCTTCCAAATATAAAATTTTATAGATGGGTATAATTATCTTATACAAACGAAATCACTTTTGCAGACTGCTTTTTATTTCTCAGTCCTGGACATCTAAATTTAGAGATGTTCTATATCTTCCTTAATTAGTCCCTTACACATAGACATTTGTCATATCTGTAGGGTAGATTTTTAAAAATCAGAAATTCTGGGTCCAAGGGTAAAACTAAAAAATTATTTTGTTATTGTTTTCATTGAGTTTATTGGTACTGTTTAGGTATACAGTACAATTACATTCATCATTGGGATCTTGTACCTTTACATGACAGGTCTTAGTTCTCATTTTTTAAAAAAATACATTTTTGAAGCGAGGTCTCACTATGTAATTCAGGCTGGCCTTGATCTCTCTGTGTAGTTCAGGCTTGCCTTAAACTCACAGTAATCCTCCTGCCTCAGCCTCCTGAGTGTTGTGATTACAGGTGGGTGCCACCATGCCTGGGCCATAAAATTTTTGATAGGTAACAGAAGATCCTTTCCCAAAGGTTATATCGCATTTTTAGAAAAAATATTATCTATACATGCCGGAATGCATACGGAAAAATTAATAAATAAAATAAGAAGGCAATATGACATAGCTGTTGAAAATATGGGTTTTGTAAACATGTAATCTTGGACCTGTTAAATAATCTCTCCCAGTCTCAATTTCTTCATTTGTAAAATGAGATTCATTGTTCCTCACTTAGGGGCTGGACAGATTAAATGAGGTAATTCATGTAACCCAATTAGTATAGAGTTTACCACACAGAGAGCTATAAACAGATGCTTCTATGACAAAAAAAAAAAAATCTGGAAAGCAGGTGTCCTAAGATAATAGAAAAGAACTTTTGTACTGCCTTAAAGTATTTGAGTCAAGCCATGTGTGGGGATACACACCTGTCACCCCAGTACTCTAGGGGGCTACCGCAGGAAGATTGCAAGTTTAAGCCCAGACTGGGAAATTTAGTAATTTAGCGGGGCTATACATGTAGCTCAATGCAAACCCTGGGTGAAATCCCACTAATAGAATAAATAAAATAAAAGGTTTGAATCAGATTGGACATCTCTAGAAAATACACAAGGATCCTCTTGGGTAGATGTTATATCACTGCTTCCAAACCTATAAAAAGTCCAGGGGCCTCCAGATGATTTGATTTGGTGGGCTTTATTTATGAACAAAGAATACAGAATTGTTTGTTCTAAGTTTAGTGCAGAGTCTTGGAAAAGACCATGCATGTAAGGGTCTCTGAAATTTATATGGCAATAAAGTCAGCTTTAGATTAGTCACTTTGTGAGGCAGCACATCTTCTGGGATAGAAAAATGACTTTCATGGTCACAGCAGCCACGCCATTGGTCTAGACATAATGCAAAGAGGGAATTTTTTTTGTGTGTGTTGTTGCTTTTTTAACTAGTGTTCTTCAACAGATTTCTACATTGGATGGAAGTTGATAGTAGATAACATTTACTGGCCCTTATTTTCCTGAGTTTCTCTGGATCTGAAAGTTGTTGGTATATTTTGAAATGCCCTAAAGATGTATATCCTAAGGGAAAAGAAAGGACAAGTAAATGACAACATGAGTCCTTAATCTTTAAGTAATTGATAATTCCTAAAATAACCAAGGCTATTGGATGGCACCATCCACATTCAGGGAGGGAGGGGCATTTAGACACACCCCAAGTTGTGCTGTACAGATTCTCTGATCTGTCAAGCTGACAATGAAAATTATCCATCACATCACCTATATGATGTTGGGGAAATTACTCAATTTCTCTAAACTACAGTTTCCTTATGTGTAAATGGGAGTGGTTACAGTCTCTTCAGAATAAGACTGCTGTAACATTAAATTAGTTAGCATTCTCCATAGCACTTGGCAAAAGTGAAGTAATTGTTCAATGTATGTTAGATATATTTATTAGTTTCTTAAAAAATTATGGACATTTGCTAGGCATAGTTTTAAATTTTTGTATTTTTGCACAAGGCAAAATGGAGATTCCAAAAAGTACAGGAGAAGGTCATTACTCCCAGAAGTGTATGATATACTAGAGGAAATGATATGTAAGCATTTACAATTCAAGGTAGTATTTCTTTAGTCACATATAAGTAGTATAAAGGTTTTTATAATGTGGATCTAAGTCACTTCTGGATGAAACTATCAGGAGTTATGTTGTAAGAAAATGACTTTGAGAACTCCAAATGTGGGCAGAATTTTAAAAATTGAAGCTTGTAAGATATACTGAAAGAACCACCATCTGTGGGTGCTGAGGCAATCCAAATTATCAGCATAGCAGAAAAACACAGTTCATTTTTAAATGCAGTTGGCAGAAAATGAATGGTGCATAACTAGAATGTACAATGTGTTAAGCTCTGAGACATGTATACACCTGTGGAACCATCACTGCAATCAAGATAATGAACGTATTTATCATCCTCAGACTTTTCTTATGCTACTTTACAATACTTCCTACCTGCCTGCATGCACAATCTCCCAAATCCCGAGTGAGCATAAGTCTGTGCTGCCCCTGGAGATTTGCTTGCACTTTCTAGGATTTTATATAAGTGGAATTGGGGGGTATGGACTTTTAAAATATCACACCCAGCAAAATTATTTTGAGATAGTTCACCCCTTTTTATTGCTGAATAATGTTCTACTTACGAATTTATAATTGTTCATCCAATCTCTCATTGATGGGGCATTTGGGTTATTTCTAGTTTTGGGTTATTACAAAAACAATTGTTTCAAACACTGGTGTAGAAGTGTTGATATAGACACGGGCTGAGTTTTTCTCCTGGGTACTGTGTAACTGGAATAACTCAGTCACATCTAGGCATATGTCCAACTTTTAAAGAAACTGTTAAAAAACTGTGTTTCAAAATGGCTGTACCATTTATATCCCCATCCACAATATATGAGAACTCCAGTACCTCCATACCCTTTCCAACATTCGACATGTTCAGACTTTTAGATGTTAAATGTTTTTATAAGTAGGTAGCTGTGACATACCTTGGTTCAAGGAATAGAAGGTTACTCGTAAAGATGGCAACGCCAGTGGAACCACACGGCTTGAAGCTTTGGATTGCATCCTGCCTCCTACATACCCAACTGACAAGCCTTTGTGGCTGCCCCTCTAGGATGTCTACAAAATTGTTGGTTTCAGTACCATCCATCTGGGCAGAGTGGACAGTGGTTTTGATTTGCATTTCCTAGGGTCTAATGATGTTGAGCATCTTTTCATATGCTTGTTTGTCACTAATATATCCTATTTGTTCCTTTCTCCACCTCTTTATTAGGTTGTTTTCTACTAGTAAATTTAGAAGATTCTTTATGTATTTTGGGTATGTCTTTTGTTTGAAAATATTTTTATTCTTTTTACACATTCCTGGGTTCAACTGGCTAATATTTTGTTGTGAATTTTTTCATTTGCCTTAATGAAGAAAACCGGTCTGTGGTTTTCTTTTATTTACAGTCCTTGGATTTGGTGCCAAAGAAATGCAGACCTTACCATATGAGTTGTGAGGTGTTCCTTCCATTTCTGGAAGAGATTATGTAGATCAGAGTTATGTCTTCTTCAAATATCTGATAGACTTTGCTTGTGAAGCCATTGGAACCTGGAGATTTAAAACAAATGAGTTTTGTACATTGACTATTGAACTTAGATAAACTAGTTTATTAATTAGTTCTAGTAGCTTTTTTTCTCATTAAACTTTGTTTTAATGGGTCTCAAAATTCTGTGACAGATTTTTTATTGTTTGCATTGAAAAGTGATTTTAAAAACTAATAATTTAAAACAGTCACACACAAAAAGAAAACAAATGGTCCATAAAACAATCTCCTTTCCTCCTGAAGGTTTTACAATGCATTGTGATAATTAACCAGTTTTTTACTATTAAACTTAAATGGCCAATTGGGAGAAACAGTTCTGTGACTGATCTTCCACCACTGATTAAGACTGGGGTGGCAGGTGCTAGGGGAAATATTCACTTAGACTTCTGAGCTTTCTGGGCAGACTTGGTGACCTTGCCAGCTCCAGCAGCCTTCTTGTCCACTGCTTCAATGACACCCACAGCAACTGTCTGACTCATATCACGAACAGCAAAATGACCCAGAGGTGGATAGTCACAGAAGCTCTCAACACACATGGGCTTGCCTGGAGCCATGTCAACGATGGCAGCATCAGCAGATTTCAAGAATTTGAGGGCATCTTCCAGCTTCTTATCAGACTGGTGATCAATCTTTTCTTTCAGCTCAGCAAACTTGCAAATGATGTGAACTGTGTGGCAATCCAGTACAGGGGCACAGCCAGCACTGATCTGGCCCGGATGTTTAAGTATAATTACCTGAGCAGTGAAACTAGGTGCTTCCATTGGTGGGCCATTTTTGCTATCACCAGCAACATTGCTACAATGAACCCCCCTTTTTTTTTAAACTGGGGATTGAATTTGGGACCTTGCACTTTCGAGACAGGCGGGGGAACCACTGAGCTAAATCCCCCGCCCCAATGAACATCTTTGACAGACAGGTTCTTGACATTTAATGCCCACATTGTCACCAGGAAGAGCTTCACTCAAAGACTCATGGTGCATTTCAAAAGACTACTTCAGTTGTGACATTGGTGAGAAGGCGATCACCATGCCATGTTTAAGAACACCGGTCTCCACTCTTCCCACAGGGATGGTACCGATACCACCAATATTGTAGACATCTTGGAAGGGCAGCCACAAAGGCTTGTCAGTTGGGCGAGTGGGGGGCAGGATGCAATCCAAAGCTTCAAGCAGTGTGGTTCCACTGGTGTTGCCATCTTTACAAGTGATCTTCCATCCCTTGAACCAAGGTATGTCAGCACTTGGCTCCAGCATGTTGTCACCATTCCAGCCAGAAATTGGCACAAATGCTACTGCGTCAGGGTTGTAGCCAATTTTCTTAATGTAGGTGCTAAGTTCCTTAACAATTTCTTTGCATCTCTTCTGGCTGTAGGGTGGCTCAGTGGTATCCATTTTGTTAAAGCCAACAATGAGTTGTTTCACACCCAGCGTGTAAGTCAGAAGGGCATGCTTATGGGTCTGCTCAGTCTAGGAGATACCAGCTTCAAATTTGCCAACACCAGCAGCAACAATCAGGACAGCATAGTCAGCCTGAGATGTGCCTGTAATGACGTTTTTGACAAAGTTTCTGTGTTCTGAAGCATCAATGATAGTCACATAATACTTGCTGGTCTCAAATTTCCACAGGGAGATGGAAATGGTGATACCATGCTTATACTTGGCTTTCAGTTTATCCAAGAATCCTTCCCCATCTCAGCAGCCTCCTTCTCAAATTTTTCAATATTTCTTTGGTCAATAACACATTTGTAGATCAGATGGCCAGTAGTGGTGGACTTGCCCAAATCCACATGTCCGATGATGACACTATTGATACGAGTTTTTTCCCTTCCCATGTTGGCTTTGATTTAGTGGTTTTCACTATACCTGTGCTCTCATGGCAAACCCACTGTGTGAAAAAAAAAAAAAAAAAAACCTCTACGACCTTTTTTGATATACCTTATTTTCTATATAGATGATCACGTCTACATGATATGACTGTGAATAAACAGTTTCACTTCTTCCTGTCCAGTGTGACTGCTTGTTTTCTTACCTAGACCCTTCAGAACAATGTTGGATAGAAGTAGGAAGCAAACATAACTGCCTTGTTCCTAACTGTAACGGGGGAAGGATTCAGCTTTTAAACATTAAATATGATGTTAGCCTCTTTTTTGGGTTAGGAAAGTTCCCTTCCATTCTAGTTTGCAGGGAGTTTTGTCTGTAATGGATGTTGGTTTTGTCAAATGCTTTTTATTATGCCTGATACAACCATATATATTTTTTTGTTTGTTTGTTTTGTACTGGGGATCAAACTCAGGACATGGCATTTGCGAGGCAGGATGTGGAACCACTGAACTAAATCCCCAACCCATACAACCATATGGTTTTTAAAAATCTGCTAATATGGTGAATTAAATTGATTGATTTTTGAATATTAAATCAATCCTGCATTTGTGGCAAAAATTCATTTAATCACAGATCTGAGTTTCTGAAATTATGTTAAGAATTTTCACAACTATTTACATAAAGGATCTTTATCTGTAATTTTTCTTTTTTGGATTATATCTTTGTCTACCTTTGGTATCAGAATAATATTAAGCTTATAGAAGAGCTTGGGATATTTTCTGTCTTCTTCAATTTCCTGATTGTGTGAAATCAGTATTACAGATGCAACTTGACTGACATTGGGGTTATGTTCTGATAAACCTACCACAAATTGGAAATATAAGTCAAAATGCATTTACTATGCCCAACCTGCAGATCATCACAGGTTAGTGACACAGTGTTATAGAATATCAGATTATTTCCCCTTGTGATTGTGCAACTGACTGGTGCTGTTGCTGTTCAGTAACATAGGAGAGGATTTGTGGCACATTACCAGCCCAGAAAAAGCCTCAAACTCAAAGTTTGAAGTATATTTCTACTGAATGTGTATTACTTTCACACTGTTACAAAGATAAACTATCCTAAGTTGGGGACTGTATTTCTTTCTTTCTTAAATGTTTGGAAGGTTCACTACTACAGGTATCTGAGCTTTATGGTTTATTTCCGTTGCCTTTTGGGAAAGTTTTAAATTACTTATTGAATTTATTTAAGAGACATAAAGCTACATGGACTTTTTGTTTCTTATTGACTGAGCTTTTAGCAGTTTGTGTCTTTAAAGGACACTTTCCATTTCAGCTAAATTACTGGATCTGTTGACATATAGTTATTCGTGATATTCAAGTTATTCTTCTAACTTCTGTACACTTGACAGCAGCTCTTTTATTCTAGATGCTGTGTTTTATATCTAGATGTCCCCAAAGGATCATGTGATCATTAGCAGGACCTCTGTTAGGAGGTGGGGCCTGGTCAGAAGAGGCAGATCACTGTGGGCGTGACCTGGAAGGCTGTATGCCCCTTCTTAAGTCTCCCCCCACTCTCTCTGCTTCCCACATGCCATGCCCTGAGCAGCTCTCCTCCAGCATGCCCCTCTGCCATGCTGTGCTTTCTTTGGAGCCAGTTGACCCAGGACTGAAACATGAGCCAAAGTAAATCTTTCCTTCTTCAAGTGGTGGCTGTCAGGTATTTTGTTTCAGCAAAAGGAAAGTGATTAAGACACTAGGTGTGTAAATGTATTTTTTCTTTTTCTTTTCTCACTGTGGTTTGAACTATGTCACTTTTATCCATTTCCTCAAAGAACTAGTTGTGAGTTTATTGATTTGCCATACTAGGTTTCTATTTTACAGATTTCAATTTTTATTTTATTTTTTCTTTTTATTATTATATTATTTTTATTCTTATTTACTTTTATTATTCTTCTTACTTCAGGATTTTTCCCTTTTAGTTTCTTTTTTTTTTTTTTTGGTACCGGGCATCAAACTCATGACCTTGCACTTGTGAGGCAGGTGTAGTGTCACTGCCTTAGTTTCTTAAAGTAGGACCTGAATTCACTGATACAAGATCCTTATATGTAAACAGAGGCATTTGGTGTTGTAAATTTTTCCTCTTATGTACTGCTCTAATTTTTCCCAGAAATTTGGATATGTTTTCGTCTACATTCAGTTAAATTGCTTTGTAATATTTCTTTTGATTTTTTCTTTGATCCATTGGTTAACTAGAAATGTATTACTGGATTTTCAAATATTCAAAGATTTTCCAGAGATCTTTCTGTTGCTGATCTCTAGTTTGAATCTATTGTATGACTTGAAGCGTTTAAAGTTTAACGAGAATTGTTCTATGGCCTGAGTATGATCTATCATAGTATTCCTTCTGGTTCTCCATAATCCTTGAGTTTGATTGGGGTGCAAAGAGCCCTGAGTGGAGGCCTGCACACACACACACACACACACACACACACACTCACTACAGAGGGGGAACAGGGACTGGGGTGGAGGTCCGTGGTAGAGCACTTGCCTGGTATGCATGAGGCCAGGAGTCCAATTCTGGGGCTTCGTGACACTTACAGCAAACAAAAGCAGATGGTTCTTCGTTGGGGAGAAGATATGACCATACTGGTTAAGGGTGCTCAGTTGCAAATATAACCCTAAGAAATGGACTGGGTAGAGAACTAGCAGGGTCTTCACAGTTTTGGCACATCAGCAAAAATGTGCAGGCATGTGGAAGACCTCTGGTGGACTGCCCCTCCAACAAACTCACTGAAACTTAAATTTTTTGGATCATTTTTTGTTTCTCTTTCATTTTAGATGGTCTGTATGGCTATGTTTTCAAATTCATTAATCTTCTACAGTGTCTCATCTTCCTTTAATGTCATTTATTGTGCTTCAGTTTTCACATCCAGATGTATTACTTGTCTTTGAAAGAAATCTTCCATATCTCTAAGCTTTTGAACATGTGGAATATAGTTATATTGTTTTAATATCCTCCTTTGCTAATTCTAACATTTACGTCAGCCCTGGGTCAGTTTCAATTGTTATTCTCAGTATTATGAGTTATGATTCCTATCTTTTTTGTATGTCCAGCAATCTTTTCTTGCATGCCAGATATTGTGGTTTTTGACCTTGTCAGATGCTAGATATCTATATCTATAAAGTTTCTTGAACTTTGTTTTGTGATGTAGTTAAACTGCTTGGAAATAGTCTTATTCCTTGTATGTCTGGCTTTTATGATTTGTCACGCCAGTTTAGAGCAGTGCTCAGTCTAGGACTAATTATTCTACACTGCTGAGGCAAGATCTGCCTAAGTATTCTATCAAGTGCTCTGTGAATTAGTTTTTCCAGTCCTGCTGGTGTGAGCAGGCACCCACCTGGCCCTGTATGAATGCTGCGCACTGATCCCTTTGATCCTTTCAGATGGTTTATTCCTTGGCTTTGGGCAGTTTCTTTATTAAACACACTCTGTGGAATAATCATGTGGAAACTCTGCAGATCTCTACAGAAATTGCAGATTTTTACCTCGTTGACTGTTGAATGTTTTTATACTCCTATAGATAGTTCTGAGCTTTGTTCTGGGACATGGTTAAGTTACTTGGAAACTGTTTGATTCTTTCACGTCTTGCTTTTGAGTTTTTTTTTTCTCCCCAGGTGGAGGACAAAACAACCTTTAATCAAGAGCTAATTTCCGCCCACTTCTGTGTACTCTCAAATCCTCTGTGAATTATGAGGTTCTCTACTCTGGCTGATGAAAACAGGAACTATTATTCTCGGCTCTTTATGAACTCAGATTATCACTATTCTTTAGTTCTTTTGGGTGCTTCTTTCCTTGGCCTCAGGTACAGCATTTTTCTTCTGTGCATTACTGATCAGATTCCACAGGGCCCCTGCGACTCTCCAGGATTCTCTCCCCTTGAAATTTGTTCTTCTGTAATTAGTCTTGCTAATTCTTTCTGCTTCACTACCCCTACCCCTAGTTTAAGGAGACCATGAACTATCTGTGGGTTGTCCTTTATTGTAATGCATTTTGGAAATTTCCTCCAAGCAGAAACTGCTGCCATGGATAGTCTTAATGCCTCTGTTATTTATTTCCTGTCTTTCAGAAAATTATGTTCCCTCGCCCAATGGCAACATCTTGAAATCCTTTCTTTCATGTACTTCATGCAGGTTTTAGTTATTTTGGACAGGATGATAAATTTGGCACTATTTATTTTGTCTTCTCTGGAATTTGAAGTCCCCACAGTTACAGTTAGCTCAGTTACTGTTTTGAGGGATACTTCTCCCTTCAACAGGTATTTGAGCACCTACTATGCAGTAGACATGTGAAGTTGCTGGGGATTGCAGCTGTGAATGAAGCAAAATCCCTGCCTGCCCAGAGTTTGTGTCCTAACAGCTCGCTTCTGTAGCGGGTGCTCAAGGTGGCGTCAGATTTACATTAGATGCTTAAATATAAACCTGATGTAAATTGTCAGTTTGTACCACAAGTCCTGGGTTGTGTTTCCTTCAGCTAAACAGCACCACCTGGAAGAAAAGTCGTAAGGACCACACGACAGGGCGACGTGGAGCTGGAAGGCGGAGCGGGCTGTGGCCTCCATTGTCAGGTCTCTTAATTACGGCTGCCTTTGGCTTAGTTCCTGACGATTCAACGCTGTTGGTCCAAGTCCACGATTTCCCCAGTGACGGCGGGAGGAGAGAAGAAAAGCAGGGGCTTTAAGGCTTTTAAACTACTCCTCAGAGGTGTGTGTTTGTGTGTCTGAGAGAGACCGAGCGAACACGTGGAACCCTGAGGAAAACACGAATACGCAAGTAACGTTTGCAAACCTGGAGGTGTGGCGGGAGGTCGACCCCGCCCACTCAGAGCCACCCCCTGCAGGTCGCCGCCGGAAGCCAGAAGGAAGCAGGGGTGGGTGCGCGGGGCCCGCAGCTCTTGGAACTGGCGACCAACGCGCAGCGCCGAGGAAGCGGGGGC